GGATGTTTCAGCACTTTGGACAGCACCTTGGCTTTTCTTACACTCTGAGAATCCTCCAGCTCAACATCTGCGGCCGCTGTTCACCAGCTGCTCTCGCTTCACTTAAAGCCTAGTTCACACTACAGGATTTTAAACATCAGCAGATCGCTGTGCTGTTCACACTACATGACTTGACTTTGTGTCTTTTGACCTCTGAGGTGTTCACACTACGCAACACTCCGTGAACGATCCACAAGAGGGGGGTCACACACTACATGATCTGACAACAACTCATTCCCCATCAGCTCATTCAAGCTACCAAACCACAGCCAATGAAAATTTGAGGGAGGAGTCGTCAGAAAAAAGCTGAACACTATTGGCTGCTTGTGTGCTGATGACATCACTGACAGCTTTTCAAGCTTTGGAGAAAGCATTTAAAAACATCGTCAAATCAGCTGATTTATCAGCGGATTAATCACTCATCTGCAAGGTTCCAGTGGATAGATACACAGAGAGTTTTTAATTTTTGTAATTTTATAACTCTTTGAAATAAACATATTTATAACACCCTGCCGTTCTCTAACTATCAGTGTATTTCTTTCTGACATTGTTATTTTTTTTATTACAAAACAGTAAAGAACTGAGCATTTCTGCCTTAAATTACCATATTGGTCAAAATGACTGCATGCATGTCTGATACTTTTCGCTGTGACTTTAAATATGTGTGCATTTTCTTGCCTGGCAACTTCCTGCTAACATAAACAAAACTTTCTGATGGCAAAAACATCAATTTACTTCAGATATCTTTCAAAACAGCATATTCTGTGCTGTTAAATAGCTCCTGTTTGAAAGTGAAAATGAAAGCCAAGCCTTTAAGTGTTTTAGTATCTTAACTACATATTTATAGGCTGTATTACCAAAAAAATATTATATTTTTAGGGTAATGGTGTCATTAAATATGATGCCAGACATTCAAAGCTTAATTTTAATATCTCAATAATAGCTTTGAATGTAAATATGTTGTGACAATATGACGTTTTGTATGAAAACGATCAGAATGAGCAGTATGGTAATTCTAATAGTTACAGAATTTTAGTTCCACTGTTAATATAGCCTACTCTCATGTCTGTGCTGACGCAGAATGAAGCGAGTGCACCGATGCCCATTCTGACCAATCACAGATGTTTCTGCTGAGCTCCTGAACACACAGGCACGCGGCTCATGCTGATATGCTCTCTCATTGGCTGTAGCTCGTCACTACATCTGACCACACGTGGGGTTGAGTCGGCCGACTGCTCTGGAATATTTAGCATGCTGAATGTTGGATTTCCGTCTGCGAGGTGTCGGCGACGCGTCAGCGAGCCTCGTTGATGCGTTGCTCAGTAGTTCACACATAAAGAGCGGCGAGCGCCGAGCACCCGCAGATTTCTTCCCGATCACAGCCCGATCTGTCGGCGAGCTCGTTAACTTCCAAATCGGGCTCAAATCAGGCTTAAAATCCTCTAGTGTGAACTAGGCATAAGGTGTACAGAAACACTGCATGAGAAGCTGCGTCACACACTCCCCAATGGAAGTCAACAACAACCATAAATGCTCGTTTGAGTCCACTCTCAATTATAGTAGCCTAATTATGTATATACTAGGGCATCGATATCGTAATGTGTGTACCCGCAATAGTCAAATCACAGGATTAGATTGTTTAATCAAGATTAAAAGATAAAAATATGACTAAGTATTATTGAAATATATATATTTATACAATGATGATCATGTTATTTTACGTTAATAAGTTGAAGCAACAAATAAACATGTGCTGTTTATTTTTGACAGTGTATAGGCTGCTGTTGAGGGGCTGGTAATGTGGCTAGTTGCTAATGTGTTAATTTTTAGGACAATATTCTGTGGTTGCTAGGGTGTTACCATGCAGTTGCTAAGGTGTTCTAATTAGTCTCTCAAATATTGTTCTGTGGTAGCTAGGGCATTGCCATGCAGTTGCTAATGTGTTAAATTTTAGCACAATATTCTGTGGTTGCTAGGGCGTTACTATGCAGTTGCTAAGGTGTTTTAATTAGTTTCTCAAATATTGTTCTGTGGTTGCTAGGGCATTGCCATGCAGTTGCTAATGTGTTCATTTTTAGGACAATATTCTGTGGTTGCTAGGGTGTTACCATGCAGTTGCTAAGGTGTTCTAATTAGTCTCTCAAATATTGTTCTGTGGTTGCTAGGGCATTGCCATGCAGTTGCTAATGTGTTAAATTTTAGCACAATATTCTGTGGTTGCTAGGGTGTTACCATGCAGTTGCTAAGGTGTTCTAATTAGTCTCTCAAATATTGTTCTGTGGTTGCTAGGGCATTGCCATGCAGTTGCTAATGTGTTAAATTTTAGCACAATATTCTGTGGTTGCTAGGGTGTTACCATGCAGTTGCTAAGGTGTTCTAATTAGTCTCTCAAATATTGTTCTGTGGTTGCTAGGACATTGCCATGCAGTTGCTAATGTGTTAAATTTTAGCACAATATTCTGTGGTTGCTAGGGCGTTACTATGCAGTTGCTAAGGTGTTTTAATTAGTTTCTCAAATATTGTTCTGTGGTTGCTAGGGCATTGCCATGCAGTTGCTAATGTGTTCATTTTCAGGACAATATTCTGTGGTTGCTAGGGTGTTACCATGCAGTTGCTAAGGTGTTCTAATTAGTCTCTCAAATAATGTTCTGTGGTTGCTAGGGCATTGCCATGCAGTTGCAAATGTGTTAAATTTTAGCACAATATTCTGTGGTTGCTAGGGCGTTACTATGCAGTTGCTAAGGTGTTTTAATTAGTTTCTCAAATATTGTTCTGTGGTTGCTAGGGCATTGCCATGCAGTTGCTAATGTGTTCATTTTTAGGACAATATTCTGTGGTTGCTAGGGTGTTACCATGCAGTTGCTAAGGTGTTCTAATTAGTCTCTCAAATAATGTTCTGTGGTTGCTAGGGCATTGCCATGCAGTTGCAAATGTGTTAAATTTTAGCACAATATTCTGTGGTTGCTAGGGCGTTACTATGCAGTTGCTAAGGTGTTTTAATTAGTTTCTCAAATATTGTTCTGTGGTTGCTAAAGCATTGCCATGCAGTTTCTAATGTGTTCATTTTTAGGACAATATTCTGTGGTTGCTAGGGCATTACCATGCAGTTGCTAAGGTGTTTTAAATAGTTTCTCAAATATTGTTCTGTGGTTGCTAGGGTGTGGTTGTGTGCAGTTGCTAATGTGTTTATTTTTTAGCACAATATTCTGTGGTTGCTAGGGTGTTGACATGCAGTTGCTATGGTGTTCTAATTACTTTCTCAAGTATTGTTCTGTGGTTGCTAGGAAATTGCCATGCAGTTACTACTGTTTTAATTTTTTAGGACAATATTCTGTGGTTGTTAGGGCATTGCCATGCAGTTGCTAATGTGTTCTAATTAGTTTCTCAAATATTGTTCTGTGGTTGCTAGGGCATTGCAATGCAGTTGCTAATGTGTTCATTGTTTAGGACAATATTCTGTGGTTGCTAGGGTGTTGACATGCAGTTCCTCAAGGGTTCTAATTAGTTTCTTAAATATTTTTCTGTGATTGCTAGGGTGTTGCTAGGCAAATTGAGTCTTCAGTTGTTTTCTAGAATAATGTAATATTGTTGCTATGCAGTTGCTAAAATCAAGATTTTTTTTAAAGTTATGTGGTTGCTACAGTGTTTAGGTTGGTTGCTAGGGCGTTACCATGCAGTTGCTAAGGTGTTACTTTTTTAGGACAATGTTATGTGGTTACTAGGGTGTTGACATGCAGTTGCTAACAATTGTAATTAGTTTCAGTTTCTCAAATATTGTTCTCTGGTTGCTAGGGTGTTGCTAGGCAAATTAAGTCTTCAGTTGTTTTCAAGCACAATGAAATGGCGGTGCTATAATGTTGCTATGCAGTTGCTAAAATAAAGATGGTTGCTACAGTGTTTAGGCTGGTTGATAGGGTGTGGCTGTGCAGTTTGTAATGTGTTCTAATTTGTTTGTTTCTTAAATATTGTTCTGTGGTTGCTAGGGTGTTGCTAGGCTAATAAAATCTTCAGTTATTTTCTAGCATAATGAAATGTCGTTGCTATGCAGTTGCTTAAATTAAGATTTGCTAGGTTAAGGTTGCTAGGGTGTGGCTGTGCAGTTGCTAATGTGTTAAATTTTTTAGAACAATATTCTGTGGTTGCTTAGGTGTTGACATGCAGTTGCTAAGGTGTTCTAATTAAGTTTCAGTTTCTGAAATATTGTTCTCTGGTTGCTAGGGTGTTACTAGGCAAATTTAGTTTTCAGTTGTTTTCTAGCATAATGATATGTCGTTGCTATGCAGTTGCTAAAATAAAGATGGTTGCTACAGTGTTTAGGCTGGTTGCTAGGGTGTGGCTGTGCAGTTGCTAAGGTGTTCTAATTTGCTTCTAGTTCAATATTGTGTGGTTGCTAGGGTGGTCTGACTGTTTGATAATGTGTTCCAATTTGTATATTTAACATGTTATTGTTTGGTTGTGGCGACACTGAGGCTCAAAGGTTAGCACTGTCACCTCACAGCAAGAAGGTTGCTAGTTCGAGTCCTGGCTGGGCCAGTTGGCCTTTCTGTGTGGAGTTTGCATGTTTTCCCAGTGTCAGAGTGATTCAGTTTCCCCCACAATCCAAACACATGCCCTATAGGGGAACTGAACTAAATTGGCCGTAGTGTACGAGTGTGTGTGTGAATGAGTGTGTATGGGTGTTTTCTAGTTCTGGGTTGCAGATGGAAGGGCATCCGCTGCATAAAACATATGCTGGATAAGTTAGCGGTTCATTCCGCTGTGGGGACCCCTGATGAATAAAGGGAGTAAGCTGAAGGAAAATGAATGAATGAATGTTTTGCAGAGTTTCCCACTGCTTGTGTAATATTTTGGCTGTATACACACATACACAATATAGATTTTGCTAGTGTGTGTGTTCAGACTTGTTCTATTGAGTTGTGTTGAGCAGATATCACAGCCTGTTCCCTCTTCCCCCCAGGCAGCAGGGAGGCGGCATTCACCTACGCCATCACCGCTGCTGGGGTCGCCCACGCCGTGACGGCCGCATGCAGCCAGGGCAACATGAGCCACTGCGGCTGCGACAGGGAAAAACAGGGCTACTACAACCAGGAGGAGGGCTGGAAATGGGGCGGATGTTCTGCTGATATTAAATACGGCATCGAGTTCTCACGGAAGTTTGTGGATGCTCGGGAGATTAAAAAAAATGCCAGACGGCTGATGAACCTACATAACAATGAAGCCGGGAGAAAGGTGAGGCTCTTTTTTTTTTCCCCCAGTTTTAATTTCAAGTATACACTTAAAGCCAGAATTATTCACCCTCCTGTATATTTTTCCCCAATTTCTGTTTAACAGAAAGAAGATTTTCTTCAGCACATTTCTAATCATAATAGTTTTAATAACTCATCTCTAATAACTGATTTATTTTATCTTTGTCATGATGACAGTAAATAATATTAGACTAGATATTCTTCAAGACACTTCTATACAGCTTAAAGTGACATGTAAAGGCTTCACTAGGGTAATTAGGGTAAAGTTAGGGTAATTAGGCAAGTCATTGTATAACAGAGGTTTGTTCTGGAGACTATCAAAAAACTAATAATGCTTAAGGGGGCTAATAATATTGACCTTAAAATGAGTTTAAAACAATGAAAAACTGCTTTTATTCTAGCCGAAATAAAACAAATAAGACTTTCTCCAGAAGAAAAAATATTATAGGAAATACTGTGAAAAATTCCTGAATCTGTTCAACATCATTTTGGAAAATTTACAATTTTTTTAATTCACAGGAGGGCAAATAAGTAAAGTTTATTCATAAACTAATTTCGAGAGGATCACGTGCTTATGATTGACACAGCTGGCCCCGAGTCAAGCTAATGTACGAACCACCAATCAGACTACTCCTAACCAAGTATAAATAACCAAACACCTTACCTTTAGTCATCTTCGTCTTGAAGAATCCCCCCTTCCACCCCTTCGCCTCCTCCTTTGTCTACAGGGCAGCACGGCGGCCCAGTGGCTAGCACTGCGGCCTCACAGCAAAATGCCTCCGGTTCGGGCATCTACCCAAACGGTCAGCATTTTCGTGTGGAGTTCATGTTCTCCCTGTGCTTGCGTGGGTTTTCCCCAGGTCCTTTGGTTTCCTCCCACACTCCCAAAAACACGACACTTAAGTAAATTGACTAAACCAAATTAGCACCAAATTCGATTCAATTCTGTCAGCAACGCATCACCTTAGCAACCCTCAAGCAGCAGGAGGGGTTGGGTTCTCGAGATCTACCCGAGCTCAAACTCCTGCAACGGGAGGGAGCCCCGGGCTCAAGGCTCTCATGAGCTCGGGGCTCTCTCCCGGGACAGCATGCCAAACTAGCTTATCAACAATCATCAGCTAAGTGTGAACTCTTGAAATGTGACTTCAACTCTATGTAAAAGAAATCATAATGTACAAACATTAACAGACAGTTTTTTACCAAAATCAAATAAAGAAAAAAATCTCAACATCAGAGAGATTTAAAATTAATAATAATAATAATAAAATAAAAAACTTAAAGCATGCATCTACACTATAATAAAAATCCTGCTTGCCTTATTTTTTTAAGCTGAATCAAGTAAACCTTTTAAAATTCCATTGAACTTATATTATGTTAAACTGACTTAAAACATCTTGCGTAACTTGAATAACTAATGCCGAGTTCAGACTGCATGATTTTAGCCCAGATTTTGACTCCCCAACAGATTTTAAGAAATTGCAGACAAACGCCTGAAATCACAGGCAAATCGGTGCTCGCGCACGTGACTGACAATCACACAGTATGAACTATCGAAGACGCAATCTGAGAGAATCGCTGATGAGTCCTGTGAGATATTTGACGTGCTGAATATCTGGAGCTGTCGGCGATTCAAATCATGCCGTGTGCAATGAGTTTTTAACCGTAGTAGTGCTGTGCGTCATTTGTTTAATCCTTTAAGGTGACCTGCTGACTGACTGGCTGGCAGGTGCGTGATGCCAGCAAACACGACGTATAGCCGTTTCAATTTACTTCAGGACGCATTAATACCGCTCTGTAGGTCTATTAGAGACATTCATAAATATTCCTAGCAAATCTAATAAATGCTGGAGACATACTAGTTACATAAACGCACTTCATCAGCATTTATTTGAGAGCGCACAAGAAGATCTGCACGCTCTTGAAGCGGCTTATATTTGAGAGGGTGTGCAAGAAGTTTTGTGCATGAGCAGAGGAAATACACTGCTCTCTCTATTCTGCCGCCCTATGCGCGGAAATAACTGAGGACGCGCGGGTGTCGCGGACCTCTATTCTGCCGCTCTATGCGCGGATATAACTGAGAACGCACGGGTGTTGAGGGAGAGAGGGAGGTGTCGCCGACGCTGCTCTCTCTATTCTGCCGCCCTATGCGCGAATATAACTGAGGACGCGCGGGTGCTGTTGGAGGTGTTGCTGACGCCGCCCTCTCTATTCTGTCGCCTATGCGCGAATAAATCTGAGAACGCGGGTGGTGAGGGAGGTGTCACGGACATAACTGAGGACACGGGTGGTATTGGGGTGTTGCGGACGCCGCCCCTCTATACTGCCCCCCTAGGCAGCCGCCTAGGTCGCCTCTATGGATGCGCCGGCCCTGCTTGTAATACTGCGCTCACGACATTCGTCATTGAAATAACACCACAGGTAGCTGGTAGATCTCTGTAAAAAAAAAAAGGCCTGCCGCCACAGCTGGAAAAAATCCTAGAGGAAACACTGCTGTCACTTTGCCACCAATATCCTAGTGGTTAAGTGTGCCGACATATAGCACCATGGTGCTCACGGCGACCCTAGTTCGATTCCTGGCTCCAGGTCTTTTGCCAACCCTTCCCCTCTCTCTTCTCCCGATACTTTCCTGTCTGTAAGCTCCACTGTAAAGGTGAAAAACCCCTAAAAACTAATTATAAGAAGCCTGTCACCATTCACTGCCATTATATGATTCACCAAGCTCAAAATCCTCTTCAATGTTCTACTCAAGAAAAAGTCTGCATCTTAGATGACCTGTGGGTGAGCAAATTAATATTGTATTTTGTATTTAAGTATCACTGTCTCTGCTAGACTGCCAAAACTGTTTTGTTTGACTGCAAGGTTGGGAAAATGGTCCAGACAATGACTCTTAATCTGTTTAGACTTCAGAAGCTTTGCTGAAAACTTTGAAGCTTGGAAGAGTTTATTTGGCCAGCATTGACTTGAAGAAACAAATAAGAATCTTCGGGGAAACGCTCCTATGCGATCATTTGTAATTTTTCAAGAGCATTTTAGTTTGACAGTTTACCAACAATGGCTGTGGCTGTCTGCAGAAACTTGTTTTCCTTTTTGTTTGACTGCACATTTGGGAAAAAAACTTCCAGACAATGCTGCTTAATCTGCTTTAGATGCTTTCAAACATTTAAAGCGTCGATGTTTACTTGAAGAAACAAAGAAGATTTATTTAAAAAAGGCTTATTCTCTAATTTATGTTTTACAGACAAATGCACATAGGGGAATTTTTGGATCCATGCAGGTATTTTCTGTGGTTTCTAATACGTTTCACTCAAATGTAAGTGGAAAACTTTCAACACAGGCCGATTGTGGATATGCACCCCTGTCTACATTTCTGGAGAGCGTGAATTATGTAGCCAGAGGTACGTCTGGCTGCATTTTGTCCTTAAAATGAATGCTACAGGGCAGTATGACGCCGCTGATGGCTTCTGTTCCTTTGTGCGATACCTCCGTGTGGACGGATTTTCTGGTGTTACCAGTTTCCCCAGTGGCTCGCCACGTATATCAGCATACATGTGACATGGAGGGAAGTTGACTGCTATGGCTTTTCTTATTCTAGATTGCTTTTGAAAACACTATGAGTTGGGTTTAAGGAATGAGGTGGGTAGGTGGGTCAGTCAGTCTAAGTCAGTCAGTCGACAGCAAGCGAGCCAAGAGTGGGTTTCCCAAACAACGACATGACTCGAGGCTGAACTATAATAGTATGATGCATTGTTTGGGAAAACAATGATGTAGTGACGAGTGTTTCCCAGAACGTAGTTTCTCTATAGCAGATCCATCGTTTGAATCACGTTAGTTATAACGTAAAGCGCCCATAATGACTCTGTAAACAGGGTGGAGTAACTACTTCTTTAGAGAAGAACCCGTCATTTCTTTTTGCAACTTATATTGTTTTACACGCACATACATAAAAAAAAATCCACCATTAGTTTTGGTAAAAACATGCACTCACTTTCCATATTAATTGAAATATATGTAAACAGCACATATAGAGCCTGTGTTTCCTTCACAAATATTATTGAGAACATTACATATTCTATTCTAACATAAAATCACTTACAAAAGCTAACACCTATTCTAATATCATACATAAATCATATAAATAATATATAATGTCGTGATTTATTAAGAAATTAAATGTATTATTTATTAGGAAATGAAAAAAATCCTACTTTAAAGCAAATTACAGCTAAGAGAAATGACCTTAATGTTTTTTTTTTTTTTATCATTCAAAGTTCAAATGTTGGAAGGTTCTAAATGAATAGGGCATAGGGGGGATGACTGGTAATAGAACACAGCCAGGAACTATGTTTCTAACTACAGCTCCAGAGATGTAGTTGCGAGTGCTCAAGTTTGCGACGCAGTTTGCGAATGTTCGTTGGAATAAGGGATTTAGGAAACGCCAAATCAACAAACTATGTTTGTAACGACGCAACTTGCGACCTTAGTTGGCTAAAGATGGTTTTCAGAAATGCACTTCTGGTCGGTTGAATTGTGCATTGAGCCCTCTGGTAGATTTACGCAAGAGGATGCCCGAGAGAAATTTGAGATCATTAAAAAGCATACACAGCGGCCTCAAATTTGCAAAAACAAAAACTCTCGAGAAGACGTAGCTCCAGTTACATATTTTGCTGTCCCAAGATATGTAGACCTGGGTATATATCCGCAATGAGTCTGGGTTGCATACATTTGTTCTTTGTTTTTTAAAAACTGGTCAACAGTGATTTGAAGAGAAACACCTTCATCAGTTTTTATTTATTAGTTTTAGCAAGCATTTTATTTTAAGCATTAACCAAATAAGGGTCATAGTTGTCTTGTAGGAACTTTTTTGTTTTTTCACTGCACAGTTGGACATATTTTCCTATCAAAACTGCTAATCTACTGTTTTAAATCTGCTTTAATTGTTATAAGTTTGAAAGCTTCAGTCCTACTTTAAGCTAAATTCTTAAA